AAACCGACCTGAGCAGCAATATTCAAACACAATCATAACTTTCCTGAGACATGTAAGAGTAGAAATTAAATAATAGAAACTAGGAAAGCAAAAAACTTAGGGAATTAGAGAGATGGCTGGGGGTTAAGAGCATGCACTGCTCTCCAAGAGGGCCGGAGTTCCGTTCTCAGTACTATGTTGTGCAGATCATAATTGTGTGTAGCTCCAGCTCCAGGGAACCTGTTGCCCATTTCTGGCCTCTGTGAACATCTGCATTTAACATGCACATATCCACATACAAAAACACTTATAACTAAAAAATAAACCTCTGTGCGTGTGTGTGTGTGTGTGTGTGTGTGTGTGTGTGTGTGTGTGTGTGTAAGAGAGAGACAGAGACTTTTAAATTAGACTGTGGGGAGAGGGAAAAGGATCTAAATCTCATCAAACTATGGTATGAAAATCACAAAAATTCAATAAAAAGGGGCTGGAGAGATGACTCAGTGGTTAACAGCACTGACTGCTCTTGCATAGGACCTGGGTTCTATTCTCAGCACCCACATGGCACCTAACAACTGTCTGTAACTCCAGTTCCAGGGGAATCCTATGCTCTTTTCGGGCATTGCACGACATGGGTACACTTACATACATGCAGGCAATACATTCAGTGTGGCATTGTGAGCAGATCCCCAGGACCACCCCCAAATATAGCAGGATTAAAATACTATTTCCTGAAACACTGTATCTTGTCAGACAACTCCCCACCTCCCCAACTTTCTGTTAAACTGAATTTGGCTTCATCCTGTAAGTCAACTCATGCAGTGAGTCCTTGGTGATTGGCCCGTTTCATTCATGGCCTTAAAGTTTATTCATTTTGCAGCATGTGTCAAGATTTCTTTCCTTTTTGGGCTGGAGAGATGGCTCAGCGGTTAAGAGCATTGGCTGCTCTTGCAGAGGACCTGGTTTCGATTCCTAGCACCCACATGGCGGCTACGAACCATTCTTGACTCCAGTTCCAGGGGACTCCTACTCCCTCTTCTGACCTCTGAGGCATTGCATGACACAGGTGCACTCATATACGCAGAGGCAATACATTCAAACACATTAAAAAACTATATTAATATTAATAAATAAAATATTTTTTTAAAGATTTCTTTGCTTTTTAAGACTGAATAATTCCAAGTAGTTTGGTTTTGGGAATTAAACCCCAAGGCCCTGTGCATGCTAAGCTAACATTCTGCCACTGAGCTACCCCCAGCCCTCAGTTTCTCCAGGCATTTGTCCATGCATTGAGATTGCTTTTGGTTATTGAGAATGTTGATAAAAGTGTGCAGGTGACTGTTCCTCAGGCACTTTGAATTTGGTTCCAAACCACTGCAGTAAGATAAGTATTATGTCTTTTTAAGTTTCTTGTTATATAAACATTGTTTTGACACTAGTGCATTTCATTAATTATGCTTTAGCACTAACATTAAACAATGTACACGTCGTAATTAAAATACGTTTTATTGCTTAAAAAATGCTAGGGATCATATGAGCTGCTGGAGAACTGGTGCTGATAGATGGGTCTGCATGGGGTTGCTTATTTTTCTGTCATATTTGTTTAAAAAATATTTGTTCACTCCAAGAGCCTAGAGGACACTTATGTTGTCTTGTAGAGTTGCCCTTTTTAGTATGGCAGCCACTAAACTACGTGGCTACTTCGTTTAAATTTATTAAAAATAAATGAGTGCAGTGTAGTCACCAGAGTGCACTGGCCAGTCTAGTAATGAGGCTCCTAATGGCTCTCTGTGAGAGGGGCCACAGCCTTATCCTAACAGTCCAGTCTCATCCCTCCTAACCAACTGGATGTACTCCTAGAAGTGCCAAATATATGAGTAAAAATTGACTGGGGGCTGGACTTTGTAGCAGTACTGTTGCCTGTGCTCCGTACATAACCCCAATATCCAGATAAATCAACGAGCAGGCCCAGTGTTGTGTGCACACCTGTAATTCCAGCACATGGGAGGTTGCAGTGGGAGAGTCACAAGTTTGGAACTGTCTTGGGCCGCATACCAAGACTCGGGATGAGTGAGAACAGGGTTGTGCTAGGGTTAAGGTGTGTTCAGGTTTGACTCTTGGAGTCACCTGTAATCTGGGTATATGTTTTGCAATAGGGATCAGACTGCCAGGCACCACATAGCAAAAAAGACCCGCTGGTCCCCATCATACAGCAAATGCTGCTTTTAGTGATATAAAGTATGTCTTGGATCTCATATCCAGTCCATTCTTTTTTCCCCAATATTTCTTCTTTTCTTTTTCTGTAAATTTTTTATTGAGTTTTTGTGTAGTTCATACAGAACATCTTAATCATCTTTATGGCCCCCTCCCCATTGGATCCCCCCTGGTACACTCCCACTCCTGACCACATCAACACCACCTTTTAGTCATTCTTTGGCCATGACTGTTCAAATAGAAGTCTTTATTGGATGCTGTTAGTGTTGAGGATAACTCACTTGTAACTTTATTGTAGAAGATTTTGCGCAAATAAAGTGTATGGTGAAGAAAGTAGATTCCTACAGTGACCCCTTAAACACAAGCAAAGGAAAAGGAGGACATGAAAAGGCTGTGCAAGAAAACCCAAGTAATGGGTATTCTAGGTGTATTGTAATTCTGTGATGTACAAGAGCTGTTCCTTTGTTTTGCCAAGTTTTGTTTTGTTTTGCAAGACCCAGAAAGCCTTCTTTGATCTGTGTTGAAGACATGAGATTATAGTTCCTTTCCTTCAGATTTTCTCACTGTGCTGGGTGGGTCCATGCAGAGAGCAGCGTTGTGGTCATTTTAATCTGGACACTCCATGTTATAGGGAGGTGCCTCTGCTGGTCCTGGTTACCTGATTCTTCTTACTGCTGTTATTCTTTGCCCCGGGGGAGAGAGATTTCTTCTTAAGAACCCTTCCTAAGGCATTTTAGTGACCTTTCAAGAGGGAAGAAGCCAAAGCTTATAGCTTCTTTTAACTTTTTGATGTAATTTTCTCTATGTCTGGTAAAGAATTTTTTTCTCCTGCAAAGAAATGGGGCTTTGTGCAATCCATTGTAGCTGCCAGACTGTTGAGATTTTGTTTGGGGAGTATGTAATAGATCATGTTCAGACTCAGGTGGTTCTTAAACCTTTAGGATGATATTCTGGTTTTGTTACTAAAAATTTTATTTTCACAGTTTGTGACTTTCATTAAATACAGTGTGTGGCTTGTCCTTGTTCAAAACTTGATTACCTGAAGTGTGTGGACCTTAAGCATTTCCTTCTTCAGATTAAGGCAGGATCCTTTGTTATTCAGTCTTTGCCCCTTTAAGCCTCTGGCACTCACATACCATAGTGTCTTGTTTAAATACACAGAAAAACCAAGTGAAAACAGCATTCATGATAAAAAAACTTCCATCTGAGACTGTGTGAGTAAATTTAGGTGGAAGATTGACAGCATTCCTTCTAAAGTGATACTTGAGTATATATAGTTCATGGGTTAGATTATCTAATTTGGTATGTGAATATGGCAAAGACTTTTTTACTTTGATTTTTACCCCAACATATAACATGTGGCCAACCCACTCACTAATAATTGGTGGGCTCAAAAATAACTATGAATGTAGGCTGGAGAGATGGATTAGTGGTTAAGAGCACTTGCTGTTCTTGAAGAGGGTCCGGGTTGGTTCCCAGCACCCACATGGCAGCTCACAACTGTCTCTAACTCAAGGGGATCTGACACCCTCTTCTGCCTTCTGAGGGCACCCGGCATGCACATGGTATACATATGTATACACAAAATGATTAAAAAGGAAATTTATGAACAGCCCTGATCAAGCTATTAGGCAAAAAAAAAAAAAAAAAAACCCAAAAAACAAAACAGTGCGGGGAGTAGTGGTGCATACCTTTAATCCCAGCACTCGGGAGGCTGGTGGGGACTCTGAGATCAAGGCCAGCCTGGTCTACATAGTTCCAGGCCAGCTGGGGCTACAGGGAGACCCTGCCTCAAACAAACAAATTAAATAAATAAATAATCAAGCAATCAAAAAAAGAAAAGGAAACAACAAACTAAAGCATGCACTTGAAGATAATTCAGTGAGGTTTTCTTGGGATGTGGAGATTCGTAGGCTCTTCTTACTGAGAACTGCCAACACTTCAGTTTTAATTAACTGTTGATAAAGTTGTATTTTTATTTAAATTATTTTCCATAGGTTCTTTTTTTGAATAAAATCTAAATAAATGTATAAAACGTTTCTAAACATTTGATAGGTCCCAAGATGACATTGTAACATGATTGTAATTCTTTCTTTTGCTACCAGTGTCATCTGAAGAACTTCACACATTTTCCACATCTGTTCGCTTAAATTACATGTTTTCATCGGTGTGTGTAAGGTCTCAGAACTCTGAGGAGAGTAAGCTACCTTGGTAGAGTGAGATGGGCATTGCTGGAGTGCAGATTAGTATTTAATTGGTAGCAAGGTTCTTTCTAACAGTGGTCTTAGGATGGGAAAGAAATGTGATTGTGAGAGCTCGTTTCATAAGAGTTTTTCAGCACTGAAATAATTGAAGGGCAGGTGTGAGGAAAGGGGAAGGAAGACAAATGTCACATAAATAACTGGATGGAAATTGGCCTGTTGATGGGACAGAGAAGGAAGTGTGCTGTTGCCAGCTCTTAGCGAGCTTCTCCTAGTCTTTGCAGTTAGATGAAGTCCCTGTGTGGGTATTCAGATGACTTCTTTCACATTGTGGCTATACTGTTTAACACACAGTAAGTCCATCAAATCCATCAATATTTGATTCACTGTTTTCTGATTGAATGAAGCTTAGGTAGTATGAAGCATTGGCTTTTCATTATATTTTAAAGAGTTTCTTGCTCCTTGAAGGATTTTAAATATAGAAAACAATGTAGCAACGTAGTGCTGGCTAATGGGCTATCTAGAATTTTTAGAGTCAGTTGGAATTGCTCATGTTTGATTTTGATACACTTCTCAACAATGGTCCAAATATTTTTGTTTCCGTTTTAGAACAAAATCCAGTCTCATAGCAGAGGAGAATATAATGTTTACAGCACCTTCCAGAGCCATGAACCAGAATTTGACTACTTGAAAAGTTTAGAAATAGAAGAGAAGATCAACAAAATTAGGTGGTTACCCCAGAAAAATGCTGCTCAGTTTTTATTGTCTACCAATGGTAAGTGTGCATCTTCTGTTCCCAGGTGCCACGTGGGCACATGTCCATAGAGGGGGGAGGATACAGCCCCTTTCCAAGAAGACTCAGCTTTAAGAGCTCTTTGTGAAGAATGGCAGCAGGCTTGCCTCCCTTATACAGAGTGCAAACCCCACTCACTCCTTTGTTTCCTTCATTACTTACAAGTTTCAGGTACCAGGTTTTATTCAGGCCAGTCCTGTTTCCTCCACTTTTCAGCCTTGCACAGGTTCCTAATACTTTGCTGACTTTTCCTTGTCAGCAAACTTGATTACAGTATTTTTTCAATATATATTATTATTTGTGTGTGTGTGTATGAGTGTCATGCCTGCATGTAGGTAAGTGAACCCTTGTCGTGCAGTGCCCGTGGAGGACAGAAGAGGCTGTCGGATCCCCTTGGAACTGGAGTTATGGATAGTTGTTAGCTGCCATGTGGGTGCTGGGATTTGAACGCGGGTCTTCTGCAAGAACAGTCAGTGTTCTTAACTGCTGAGCCATCTCTCCAGCCCTGATATTACAGTATTGTTAAGTATCAGATTTGGTAGCTTCACATACAGAACGAGTGCTCAGTAAATGTTCATTTCCTTTCCTCTTCCTCCCTAAACTCTGCAGAGGATGGTTTCCATGCCATGATTCTCTCTAGGAGAGCACTCTGCCTCCCTGACTCACATTAGAGTATCACTTTGCTCCCCAGCCACTTGGCTGGAAGAAGACCCTTCTCATCCTATTGTGCCTGTCCTAGGAATGTTACTGGTATGAGGGTTAGAGCCATGGAAGACTGTCACAGTTGGAAGTCTTTTACAGCAAGTTAAGAGTTGAATGATTTCTTTTTGTTTTTTTCCTATACATTGTGACTTGGTTTATCATTGGGGCTTTGGGACTAAAGAAAATCATTCAGAGATCTGTGGCATAGTCTATAAAATTTTATATTAAAACTTGGGAGACTAACACAAAGGTTAGCAGAAATCTCAGGCGTTATCATTAACTATTAATAGAAGCCAACTGTAGCACTTCACTTACATCCTTGTGTTTGCAGAGTGATGCATGACTTTTAAGGTAACATGGTAGAAGATGCTTAGAGCCCCCTTCATCCAATTCATGCCCTCACACTTCACTGTGTTGAACTGTTCTTTGGTATGCAGTTCATACCATACTGCCGTTCCTGATATCATGGGTCTGCCTCCCTAGGGGCCCATTTTTTTCATTGACAAAGCTTTCTACATCAGTGCATTAGACCTATAGCCTCTGCCCCCCTTTTCATGTAAACGGCATTCTTTGGGGCGGGGGCAGTGATGATGAGACAGACTCTGGCTTTGAACTCTGAATTTCTTGCTTCTGCCTTCCAAGTGCTGGCATGCCCACTATGCCTCCACTTCTTATTACAGGAAAAGTAACAGAAATCACAAGGCTGCAACTCATAGCACTCTTGGTGGAGGAGGAACTGTATAATGGCCTCTTGTCTTGCTTCCACTTACACTGGACTAAGTTAATTCAGATAGCCCTCAGACTGTTTTGATTTTGGGGGGACAGGATCTCACTATATAGCCTCAGCTGCCCTGGAAATTGCTTTGTAGGCCATCCCAGGGTGGCCGTGATCTCTGCCTACCTCTCCTGAGTGCTGGGACTAAAGGCATATGCTACCATGCCCGACTAGACATTTTTTTCCTACATCAGATAAAACATGATCATATTGTTCATAAAGTTTTGCTTTCAGAAGTACCTGTCCCTAGGAAGTGTGGTACAGCTTGTTGGGTCCATGCGTTGCAATCCTCTTGCAGTAAGTATAGGCCTTCTGTATGCTAGGCAGGCTCTCTACCGCCAACCTGTATCCCCAAGCCCCTGTTTGCTTTTCTTTTTTTGGCATAGGCTCTAGATAAGTTTCCTATGCTGGTCTTGAACTTGGGATCCTCTCCTGCCTTTGCTTCACTATGCTGGATTACAGGCTTGTGCCACGGGACCCACTTCATGGCACTTCATTTCTTTTTCTTTTTTAAAAAATTTACTTTATATATATGTATGTCTGTGGGGAATGTGTAGTGCAGGTACCCACAGAGTCCAGAAGAGGGTCCTCTGGAACTGGAGTCACAGGCTGTTGTCCTTCTGTTGTGGGTGCAAAGAACTGAACTCTGGTACTCTGTAAGAGCAGTAGGTGCTTGTAACCTCTGAGCCATCTTTGCAGCCCCCAGTTTATTTCTCACAGGCTGACTCACTTTGCCTTTTATAAAAAGGAAGAGTTAAAGTGTAAGCTGCAATAGAGACGGTAGTCTAAGGAAGCCCCTGGTGATCACCCATCTTAACACCACTCAGGTGTTGGCCAATTTGTTGCTCCTTCCCCATGTGTTTGGAAGCAAATCTAATTGCAAATCATTAACTGACTTCTAAGAGCTTTGTCATGCTTCTGGCACCAGCATCATTTCAGTGTTGAATTTTGAGACAGGATCTCCATCTATAGCTCAAGGCTTTCCTCCTGCCTCAGTCTCCTGGATTACAGGCATGAAGCACCACACCCAACTCTGATGAGCCTTCCTAGACATTGGACTGGGAGTTCCTGTAGTGAGACCAAGGGTCTGTGAATCTGTGTAGTGTGTGTCTGTACATGAGTTGTCTTGTCTCTAAATACACTAAGTACCTACATCTGAAGATATCATTGACTCTTATTACGAATTATTTAAGGGAAGCTGGGTGTGGTTGGCACAAGCCTTTAATCCCAGCACTTGGGAGGGGCAGGTGAATTTCTGTGAGTTCAAGGTCAGCCTGGTCTACATGGCCAGCTAGGGCTACAGTGAGACCCTGTCTCAAAAAGATCCCCCCAAAACCAAATTATTTAAGGGTGTTACAGAATAGATTGCATTTTTTTCTTTTGTTACTGTTAAATTCTAAATAACACAGAAGTAATACTCAAGGGTTTTGTCTGCATGCATACACTAAAAAGAGTGCTTAAAAAATGGAAACACAAAGTTTGAGGGCTGGAGAGATTGCTCAGCAGTTAAGAACATTGTTCTTGCAGAGGACCCGGGTTCGAATCCCAGCACCCACGTGGCAGCTAACAACTGTCCATAACTCCAGTCCCAGGGGATCTGACAGCCTCTTCTGTCCTCTGTGGGCATTGCACAACATGGGTGCACTTACCTGCATGCAGGCAATACATGGATACACATAGAAATAATAAAATACATTTCTTAAAAAAGGGTTTGAGCATTTTATCAACTGTTGTGTCTGGGTATGATGGGACGGAGGAGGTATAGGAAGAGTCAAAGCTGTGAAGACCTGAAAGCAATTTTGAAGAAGAGCCAATCGATCTTTATTTGGTACAGTTTTTCCTATGAGATACAGCATGAGAACCTTGGATCTACCCCAGCAGTACACCTTATACTGATAAAAAGATCAGGGTGTTCCTGAGGAATCATTTCCTCTCTTTTACAGTTTTCACAAGTGTTTTAATCTTTTAAAAGACTTTCTTTGCCTTTCTCTGAATTCGCGCTAATTTTTCTATGTTACAAAAATGCCTGGTTAACCTGTTGAGCTTGAGTCACTTAAATAGGTGGTTCTCACAGCTTGTTGGTGAGAAGTCTCTAAACCACAGATACAGCTACATTTCCACAAAGGAATCTTGACTACATGGTTCACGTTACTCTGACCCTCTGCTTGTAGCAGGAGGATAAATATAGAAACCTTGGAACTGGTGGAATTCTTGAGTTATTTGTGTAGCCATTTAGGGAAACAACAGAGTGGACATTGTGGAAAGAACAGCTTGTGGAGAAATGAAAAATCATTTCTACTGAAATGTTTGGTTTCATACTGTGGAACAACAGCTTTATGGAGTTTGCTTGTTCTTACATCCTGCCTGCTGTGGGCCAGAAATTCTAGGTAAAACTAAAATTTGTCATATGTTAATATATTTCCTGTCTGCTTTCTCCCCAAAGTACTGCACTGAGATCATGTGTCTATCCCAGTACTTCAGTGTCCTGTGTTTGCTACTAAAAAAAATAATAATAATAATTAAAAAGCCTAAGTGGCGTGCACATCTAGGATGCAACTTCTATACCTAAGACTCATGGAACATAGAACAAGGGATGAAGAAAACACTAATATATCTTTCTTTTCTAAAAAAAAATTTTTTTTATTTAATTTTTTAATTTTATGTGTATGCGTGTATTGCCTGCATGTAGGTAAGTGCACTTGTGTCATGCAATGCCCGCAGAGGTTAGAAGACACTGTCGGATCCCCTGGAACTGGAGGTACGGACAGTCATTAGCTGCCATGTGGGTGCTGGGATTCGAACCCTGGTCTTCTGCAAGAATAACCAGTGTTCTTAACAGCTGAGCCATCTTTCCACCCACCTAATGGCATGGACTTATATGTATGATAGTGAAAGAAGCTGTAATTTCTGTCCTCTATTTCACTGGTAAATGGGTCCATCTGTATTATTACATATGTATGCTTAAAAATTTTGTGTAGAAAATATAAAAAATAAAAAGCAAAAATTTCTTTAGGTGAAGTATTCAATGGCATATTTTAAATGTTTTAACATGGTTTATCTCTCAAGATTACTTTTTTTTCCTCCTATTTTAAGGACTTTCTTCATTCTTTCCCCAGATAAAACAATAAAATTATGGAAAATCAGTGAAAGGGACAAAAGACCAGAAGGGTATAACTTGAAAGAGGAAGATGGAAGGTACAGAGACCCCACTACAGTCACTACACTACGAGTAAGTACTCAGGATTCTGCTTGGGCTTGGCATCCAGCTCCATACAGCCTGGAGCCGTTGCAGAATACTGCACAGCTCCTGCTTAAGCCCAGAATGGGTTCTCCTAGGGTGGTGCAGAAGAGCCGCACTCTGGCTTTCCTAGTTGTAACATCAGCCATTGCAAAGTAAGTTTGAATGGATAAAATCACAGTTTGAGCTTAAAAATTCTAAGAATAAGAACTGGGTGTCCTTTCTCATTGTGGTAACTCAAACCATAAACATTTATTAGTTTTATACTTCTTTCAGATGAGAAATTAGAACAAAGATTTGCAAACTAATACTTTCTTTTCATGCAGGAGAAAGGTACAGTGTCCAAATTGTTTATTTTTTTCATTTTCCCATTCAGCATCTTAACAGAACCAACATTTGGTTTTTTTCAAAACTTAATTCTGGGGAAGGGGGTATAAAGATGATTTTATGTATAAAATACACAAGAATTCAATTAAAAATTATTTAAGGGGCTGGAGAGATGGCTCAGTGGTTAAAAACACTGGTTGTTCTTACAGTAGACCCGGGCTTGAATCCCAGCACCCACATGGCAGCTAACAACTGTTCGTAACTCCAGTCCCAGGGTATCTGACAGCCTCTTCTGACCTCCGAGAGCTTTGCATAACACGGGTGCATTTACCTACATGCAGGCAATACACACATACACATAAAATAAAAATAATAAATAAAAATTTTTTAAATTATTTAAAAATTTATTATTTTCATTTTATGTGTATGTATGCATTGCCTACATGTGTGCAAGTGCACCCGTGGCATGCAATAACCACTGAGGTCAGAAGGCAGCATCAGATTTCCTGGAACTGGAGTTATGGACAGTTGTTAGTTGCCATGAAGGTGTTGGGAATTGAACTCTGCAAGAGCAGCCACTGCTCTGAACCACTGAGCCATCTCTCCATCCCTAAAACTTAATTCTTAATAGTACCCTATTTTATGTTTTCTCAAAAAGTTGAATAATGAATTTTCTGAATGTGAAGCACCTTTTGTAAAATCCAGTTTTCGGTATGTCTTATTGGCAGGTGCCAGTCTTCAGGCCCATGGATCTCATGGTGGAGGCCAGTCCCCGAAGAATATTTGCCAATGCCCATACATACCACATCAACTCAATTTCCATCAATAGTGACTATGAAACGTATTTATCAGCTGATGATTTGCGGATTAATCTTTGGCATCTGGAGATTACAGACAGAAGTTTTAGTATCCGCTTGCTTTGTTGCTGTTGTGTGGTGTTTGGTAAAAAATGTTTTTTGTGCCATATTAGATTCACTGTCTTCTCTCCTTAACATACCCGCTGTTGTTTTTAAACAGTGTCCTTCCGGATATGTAGTGCCTTCCTATCCCCCTGTTTTTCCTGATGTATCAGTATTTAAATTTTGGAGAAAGGTTACTTGATAATAAAAATAAATGTCATATTCCAAAATTTTATTTATGGAATTTTAGGGGCTTTCTCTACTGTTTATTAAAATGAGAATTGAGTATTTGTTAAACTTGTGAAGTATTTAAGATGTTAATTACAAAAATGTTCTCATTAAATCTGGGGGGGAAAGTTCACGTTAACAGTAGAAGACAATGTGGTGGCGATTATTTGCCCACACATATGTGTGTGCCAGCATACTCTGCTCATTCACATATGCACAACAGAAATAAGTATTTAAGTATGCTTTAAAATTTTTCTTTTTTTGAGACAGGATCTTACCATGTAGATTAGGCTGGTTACAAACTCACAAATAGCCGTCTGCCTCTGCCTCCTGAATGCTGAGATTAAAGGTGTTAAAGGCATGTGCCACCATGCCCAGCTCCTTTCTATTGTCTAAAACTTGAACACTATCTGAGTATGATAGAACTGTCTTGTAATCTTAAGTACTCATTCGAAGCCAAAATGGTGTTTTGAGGTGAAGTGAAAATTTAGTTGTCGTGAGGTGGAAAGCAATGAGCTACATTTTCTATACAAGAAAATTACGGAACCTGATAGCTAGAAGTAGGATTATAGAGGCAGTTGCTTGAATCAGGAAGTAGGTCAATCTATAAAACTATAGATGAGACAATGTTAGTATGAGTAACAAGAAAAATTCTCCTACGCTGAGGGTCAGAGTCATGGAGATTATGAGTTCAAGGCCAGCCTAAGCTACATCACAAGAATCTCTGTCAATAAAAAGAGAGATAAAAAAGCAAACATAAGTTTTCCCATTTCTGCGATTTATGCTCATGAGAAGGAGTAGTATATAATTCAGAATGTGACTGGAATTCAGCTTTGGGAAATAGAAAATTCTTTTGGCCCTTTTTTCCACGTGGAGATTCCTTAATAAAATGCTTTATAGATATTGTGGATATCAAGCCTGCCAATATGGAAGAGCTCACAGAGGTGATCACAGCAGCAGAATTCCATCCCAACAGCTGTAACACATTTGTATACAGCAGCAGTAAAGGAACTATTCGGCTCTGTGACATGAGAGCATCTGCCCTCTGTGACAGGCATTCTAAACGTAAGTTGATTGAAAAAAATTATTTGTATTTTATGTGTATAGGTGTTTTGCCTGGGTGTTTGTAAGTGCATCTGTGCTTGCAATGCCTGTGGAGGCCAGAAGAGGGTGTCAGATCCTCTGGAACTGAGTTACAGATGGTTGTTAACTGTCTTGTGGGTGCTGGGAATCCAGCAGGGGTCCTCTGCCAAGAGCAGCCAGTGCTCTTAACTGCGGAGTCAGCCAGGTCCCCACCTGGCTTAAAGTGAGAACATACTCAAACTAGCTTAGGCATGTGCGCCCAGGGCCTGCTACGTCTGTGGGTGAACTGCCCAACTCCCTCTGAGGCGCCGCAGCTCAACTCATTCCACAGTGGGAGCATAGGCTCCATGGGCCGTGGCTGTGGGTTCACAGTGAATGTTTTCAGTGGAATGCTGTGTTGGGAATGTGTGGTTGAGTTCTCCAACCTTGTGTTCAGGCAGACAAGTTTCCTTCCCTTGTCTCTCCTTTCTTTTACTGTTTTGAGCTTCCCAGGAAGGCTTTTCATGAGAAGAGTTGTGAAACACTGGCTTTAAACCACGAAAGGGGCCGCACTGTTCTTATTTCACGTTGGGTTCTTTAAAAACTCAGATACATGCCTGCTACCAAAAGAATTTTATCTGGTACTGGAAAGATGCTGGCATGAGTTTGGGTGAGTGAGGGTGGTGGTGTGTTTTTGTTTAGTACAGACAGTGAGGCATTTCAAGAGCTAGCACCTTGGTGTACTGAAGTCAGAAGTCTTCAGTACACGCGTCCTGTTCTGCACAAATTTCCTGCCAAGAAGTGTGCTATACACTTTCACGTTTTTACCTTACGTATTGAATCATTTTCCTAAAACATTTTCAGGGAAATATATTCTCACAGCTGGAAGAATGTTTTTCTACTGATTTATTAGCCTGGAATTTTACCTCAGTGAATGGTTGTTTCAGAAAATGATTTGTACAAGCCAAAATATTAACTTTTTTTCCTTTTCTCTTCGGCTTGTTTTTAGTGTTTGAAGAGCCCGAAGATCCCAGTAACAGGTCTTTTTTTTCTGAAATCATCTCCTCTATTTCTGATGTAAAATTCAGCCATAGTGGTCGCTATATGATGACTAGAGACTATTTGTCAGTCAAAATTTGGGACTTGAATATGGAAAACAGGCCTGTGGAAACATACCAGGTATTTTCAGTTTTTTCTTCCATGAGCGTACACCTGTTTAAAGCGTTTGTAGAGCAAGTTCTTGTACTGAGTGATAATCCCAGCACAGTTCACCATCAGGCTTATTCTTCAGAGCCATGAATACTTACTAGTCCTTAGGTTTGTGTATCCTTGTGTTGTCTCTTTAGTGTTGCAGTTAATGTGTAATGTTGTTACCTGTTATGGTTCAGCATTGCAGCTTTGAACATTGAAGTGTGGGCACAAGGAGGCCCAGGGAGAACATCTAGCAGAGAGTAGAAGTGTAATGCTTGAACCAGATCGTTTTGGTGCCAAGTCAGTTGACTCTTCTTCCTTTTGGCTGATAACTGATGTCTTAAGTTAAAGGAGAAGGGCTTGAACGCTCAGCAGATGCTGCAGGAGTTGCCCATCCAGGGCAGGATGTAAGTTCAGTGTTCTCTCCTGTGTTAGCGAGGCCTACCTGTGTTCCATAGTCAGTGCAGGAGACAGAAAAGAGAGGTGCGCGGCGCATCTAACTGCACGGAGTAATACACCTGGCCGTCCTCCCCACCACCCATTCTCAGTGCGAACCTCGTTTCACAGTCTTTGCTTGTTAGGTGAGAAGCCCTGCAATGTTGTGCACCACTCCTAAATTCCAAGCCCACCGTAGGTGTTAGCTGCCCTGCCAGCTTCTGTGAAGCTATATCACAGCAGTGTTGGGTTGTGCTGCCATCTTGCTGGCTTGTGTGGGACCGAGTGTGTGTGTGCTTCTGAGACAACAAGAAAACTTTTTTGGCATTACTTTGACAAATTCTGCCCTAGTGCCAGAAGAGTTGTAATTCCTGAGTATTAATTTTTTATTTAGATGCCAGGCTTGGTGGTGCATGCATTTAATCTTTAATAGAAGATCTAGGCCAGCCTGGTCTACATAGCAAAGTCCAGACCAGCCATGATTACAGGGATACCCTATATCAAAAAATCAAAACAAAAAATTTTAACTTGATGTAGACATGTCTTGAATGACTTCCACAGAGCTCGGGAGGCAAGAGGACCGCTTAAGACCAGCCTGTGTGATGGCCATTGCTGCTTTTAGGGTCTCATTTAACACAATGGGGATAGTTGGTAGTCAGCACTTGGTTTTCCTCTAGTCACAGCAAATGCTTCCATACTGCTAGTGTGGACATGCGCCTTGCTTCTCAGACTGCGTTTTAGCTACCAGATTTGCTTTCGTTTGTCCTGCGTATTTCCCAACTTACTCTTTTTGTGGGATATTAGTGAGTAATGTAGATTATATTATGATCCAAACATAGGGCTCTATTAGCTTTTTATGTTGGGTAAATACTATGAAGTGACGCCATCAAATTTTTTTCTTTATATTTTTTAAAATTTTTACTATTTTTATTTTCTGTGTATTGCCTGTGTGTATATAAGAACACCCATGTCGTGCGGTGCCCACAGAGGTCAGAAGATAGTGTTAGAGTCCCTGGAACTGGAGTTACATACATTGTTAGCTGCCATGTGGATGCTGATTTTTTTTTTTTTAAACATTTTTAAAATTATTTTTATTTTATGTATATGAGTGTATTGCCTGCATGTAGGTAAGTGTACATGTATTGTCCAATGCCTGAGGAGGACAGAAGAGGCCATCGGATCCCCTGGAAGAAGTTATATTTGTTAGCCGCCATGCAGGTGCTGGGATTCGAACCCTAGTCATCAAGAACAACCAGTATTCTTAACTGCTGAACCCTCTCTCCATCTCGATTCTTTTTTATTAACATTTATTTACATGTGTTTGCACATGTGTGTGCCATGACTGCATGTGGAGGTCTGAGGACAACCTTACAGGAGTCTTGTTTTCTCCTACTATGTGGGTCTTGGGGACCAAACTCAAGTCATCAGGATCTACTGCAAGCACCTTTCCCACTTTTTTTTTGACAGGGTCTCCCTAGTCCCAGCCTGCCTGGAAGTCACTATGTGGTCAAGGTGGGCCTGGATCTCACAGAGATCTGCCCCCCCCTCCCCTGGGAAGGCGGGATTAAAGGTGTACACCACCACACCCAGCCCAGCTATCAATTTTTAAGTGATTTGTGTGTGAAAGTGTTGAAAGGAGAGGGGGTAACTGAGAAGACAGAGACCATTAGCTTTTATCACTAAGCCAAGACTTCAGCATGCTATGTATTAACTGAAAATACTAGGTCCAAGTTAAATTTATATGCAGAAAATGTCACTTAAGGGAAGTAAACAGTGTTTGTATCAGCAGTTCATGGACCGAAAGCCAACTAGTGATACTCAGATATTGCTTTGATTTTCTTTGGTTAGTTTCAAATCTTCCATTTTCAAATATTTTCTGACTTAAATGTTTTTGTTAGATTTGTCAGAGCACATGTGGCCATGCCCAGAAAGCGAGGAGGGTTTTCTCTGTTGTACTTAGGAAAATGCCTAGCTAAAAGGGTGTGTGTTTGTAAAAGGATAAAACACCTTTATTGCTACTAAAAGATTGAGAGTAAATAAGATTAAGAGGGTGAATGTTTCTGTCTACATCAGCTTTAGCTCGGTGCTGAAGTAAATGCTGTGTTTTCCCAGGTACACGAATACCTCAGAAGTAAGCTGTGCTCGCTGTATGAAAACGACTGCATATTCGACAAATTTGAATGTTGTTGGAATGGATCCGACAGGTAATTGGTTTTAATTTGAATCTTTCAAAGGTAAAAAAGCACTTGCTGGTTCATCCCTCCTGCCTTTATTTGCCACATTAGGTAAAAATAGGCCTTTTTAAAACATTGACATGTTACAAGTCCTTCATTTCCACACCAAATATTACATGAAATAAATTAATAACATTGATGTAGCCACACCGCGTTGATTTTACTAGTAAATGTGAGACAAAACATACCTATAACAAGAAGGTAAAGATACCCAATTATTGTTTGAATAGCTTTAGTGTTTTTCCTTATAAACCAGATAAGCCATGTGCCTTAGTGCTGAAGGAGCAGAAGGGTTGTCTGAGTTTCAGGTGTCTAAACCAGCCTGAGTAGCACAGGGAGATCACACTTCTAAATGCCAATTTCAATGGTAAAATTTTATGTGGTGGTTCTGTTTTGAGAAGTGTTTAGGTAGCAGGCACTTAATGCAGATTATTGTACTCCTGTTTTATCATATTGACTCAACTTTATAGAAGTAATCATTTGTATGATAGTTTAAACATTTACTTACCACTTACTATGCTCCAACTAAAAGAAACATTTCGAAATTAAGATCACATTTCAGCTAATTAGAAGTGCTCTATTGGCAGTCGTTCTATCAGAAAAGCTTGATGTGATTCAGGTCTCATGATGTTGAGTGTTAGCACTAGAACTCCCGGTGTTTGTCTTCCGTCCACTTTTGAAGTTACGGTTACCTGATTTGTACAGTAGGCCCAATAATAGGCTGGGCATTGCATGCAGGCCTGCTGACAGGGTTGGCAGTCATGGCCTTTGGTGCCACTTCTAAATGTGAGACACAGGAAGGAAGGAGGAAGGGGAAGAAAAAAGAAAGGGCACCTCGGAAGAGTGGTATTGGTGTGATGGGGTTTGGTGTACAATGAATTCTTTGCTGTGCTTATTTAGCCCTGTTAACAGTTTAAGTTCTATTACATCATCTGAAGGAAGCTATTCTCAACATTAAGAAATTTTTTTCATGGCAGGTGGTTGGCTCAGAGGGTAAAAGGTACTTGCTGCCAAGCCCAGCAATCTGAGTTGGATCCCTGGAACTCATATGTGCCATTACCCACACATCCACGCACACACAAATTAATGAGTGTGATCAGAAAGTTAGTTATTCTGAAGTGATTTCAAAACTAGTTCTCAAAAGACAAAGACAACCCTGTCCTGCAACAGCTCAAGCCTCATCGTGATGCAGTACTGCCCACAGAGCTCACTAAACCCCACCTGTTAATCTGTTTCCTTTACAGCCTAGAAAAAAGGCTTGGTCTGGTTCTCAATCCAAGATCTTAACACTGAGATGATGTTTTATTTTTCCTCCTTTACTCTAGAACACTCCTTCAGTCTTGTCTTGACTGGGTATATATATCTTTCGTTTTGTTTGTTTTTGTTGTTTTGAGACAGGTCTCACTGTGTAGCCCTGGTTGGCCTGGAACTCACTACATGGTTCAGGCTGCCCTTGAATGGAGAGAGATCCACCTGCCTTAGCCTCCTAAGTACTGGTATTAAAGGCTTGCACCTCCAGGCCCAACGGACCTGGGTGTTTTTGGGAGAATACAGGCTAGTTGTTTTTTTTTTAGGAAGTTTCTCAGTGTGAGTGCTGTATTTTCCTTATTATATGATTCAGGCTGTACACAAACCAACTTACAAACTCAAAACAAGGGCAGTGCCAGCTTAATTGGCATGAGTCACTGTAAAAGAAAGGCGGTTTCATTGTCTTCAGTGACAGCTTGAGTTTGATTTAAATTGTCGGTTGTCCTTTGGGGAAATTGCCATTACTAAATAGATTATAAAACCCAGGCGTGGTAGCGCACACCTTTAATCCCAGTGCTCGGGAAGCTGAGGCAGGCGGATCTGTCACTTCGAGGCCAGCCTGGGCTACAGGGAGACTGTCTCAAAAAGACCAAAACAAAATAAAAAAACCCTTTGTGCCACCCTGAGTATTACCTAAACAGTTCAGGTGTGCATGCACACACTGTCAGTACAGTGATCATCTAGATCATGTAGAAAGGCTGGTGTGGAGGGTTTCACACTTCAGATTCAGGTTTTGCTTTGAAGATAATTAGTGGAAGGTGAGCAAGTATTTTTGTTTAAGGTGTTTTTAGTAACTTGGGCCTAGTGGCACACACCTGTAATCCTAGCACTTAGGCGATGGAGGCGGAAGGATCAGGATTTCAAGTATGAGACTAGCAAGTTTTGAGACTAGTGTGAACTACACAGACCCTGTTTCTAAATATATATATATTTAAGGTACAGTGATATTTTCATTATTTTTATGTGTGTAAGTATATTGCCTGCATGTATGTAAGTGCTCCCGTGTTGTACGGTGCTGGTGGAGGTCAGAAGAAGGCATTGAATTCCCCTGGAACTGGAACTAAGAACCGTTGTTAACTGCCATGTGGATGCTGGGAATTGAACCTGGGTCCTCTGCAAGAGCAGCCAGAGCTTTTAACCGCAGAGCCATCTCTCCAGCCCCTATGTTATTTTCTTATAAGGAAGTTTGTTGTAAACATTCATAAAGTATTACCTGAGCCAGATGTGCTGATACATGCCTATGATCCCTGCACTAGGGATGCTGAGGTGGATTATAATTTGAAGGCCAGCCTGCTCTACATAATGAGACCCAGCCTTGGGTGGGGAGGGATTTTATCCAGACAAGTAAAATCATCCATAATTAGGATCATAAAGCATTGCTTTCACTGGACACGATGGCACCCAGCTTTAGTCCCAATACCTGGGAGGCAGAGGCAGTCCTGGTCTACATGAGGTTCAACCAATCCAGGACTACACAGTGGAGACTGTTTCCTAAACAAACCAACCATTACTTTCTTAGAAACAACTACTGCAGTTTGGAGGAGGTTAGATTTTGTGAGCCTCACATGGTTGCTGCTTCAAGAAGCTGGTGAGTTTGGCTGGTCGTATGACTTGTAGGTGAAAGAAGAATTCAGTAAAGGCAGTTCAGTCCTAGAAGAGAGATTTCCTGGTGTGGTCAGCTTTGCTGTTTTGCTTGTTTTTTTGGAAGGGAGGGCCTTGCAGAGCCACCTTCAGCAGTCTGATTTTGGTTTGCTCCAGCCTTTGGGTTGCCATCAACAGCCCCCCATCTTAATTCAAATATGGGCGAATGAGCTGCTTCCTGTAAGCAGGTTTGGCCCTCAGTCATCAGAGTGAGCGTGGTCTCTGGTTCGCACATTTGACTGCGTGTTCTGCTTTTACAGTGTGGTCATGACTGGATCCTACAATAATTTCTTCAGAATGTTCGACAGGAACACGAAGCGAGATATAACCCTAGAAGCATCACGAGAAAACAATAAGCCTCGCACGGTTTTGAAGCCACGCAAGGTCTGTGCAAGCGGCAAGCGAAAGAAAGATGAAATAAGTGTTGACAGCCTTGACTTCAACAAGAAGATCCTTCACACAGCCTGGCACCCCAAGGAGAATATCATTGCTGTAGCTACCACAAACAATCTGTATATATTTCAAGACAAAGGGAATTAGGGTCAGCATTCCTAGCAGAAGAGCCCACTTCCTGCTTAGTTGAGATAGTTGAATCTAGCATTCATACCTATACAAGAGAGAGGTCCATTGTGACACCCCTCTCCAGTGTTTGACAGTGTGCCATTCGACAACACATTGTGTAGCTCATGGAGAAAGCTGTGGACCCATCCCTGTGTGTTCTCCATGTCTCTAGCCATTTAGGTAAGGGTAGGGCACTTTTAATTTAAATGACTTCTTGCACCATCTTGCCTAATGGACTAGATTGGACTGTGTCAGCATTGATTTACTCCACTTTTTATGCCTTCCATTGTGATGACGTCAAACACAGTGAAAGCCTTCAGTCATGCTATGGGATTTAATTGTGTATCCTCATTACTGTATCATTGTGGGGTACACCCCTCCCCTCTTTTTTAAATTAAATACAGCTCATTCTTACTGTGGCTTGTAGCAGTCCTCCTCTGGCCTCCTGGACTCTTCCCCTCCATCTCCTACCCTTGCCCTTTCCACCTGGTCTTGGTGGCGGCATATTCAAAAAAAGAAGGAAGAAGGAAAGCACACGAAATGAGTGGGTCTGGGGTCAGTGGTAAGGGGGGCGTTGCGAACAAATGTTTCAGTAACAGCTGTAATCACTCCTTGCCGTGCCTGGCACTGAAAGTACGGAAAGAAAAACTACTACTGAATAAAAGTGACAAAGAACGGAGAACCTGGCTTTCTTTTTCTTTTTAATCTACCTCCTTAAACCAACTTTGTGTCACACCCTCAGGCGCAGTGAATGAAATGGGTTTCTGTTGCTTCCTGGTATTTTTGTGAACTATTTTTAACAAGTGTTTTCCATGGAGCCTCAGGAGAGGTGTGAGTTCTGTGTGAACACATGTTGAATATACACTGCTGTTAAGGATTTCATCTAGAAATGCTAGAGATTATTTTTTTTTTAACTGTAGTTATAAGGGTATTGGATACTTGGTAATCTATACCCATCTGTTAATGAAGTTGTTGTAAATGAGAACCAAATTTGTAGATTTTTCTAGTGCTTAATTTCAGTTTTGCCTTATAAATACCAAGCAAGAGACGTCACAGATGTTTCCAACAAGTTAACCTCTGTGTCATCCAGTCACAGCAGAGCAGAGTATCAAGGGGCTTCGTAGATGACCCTGAGGCTTCCCAGAACTCTGGACTGATTGCTGTGAAGTCAGAATGGATTGTATTTTGCCATAGATGAATTTTTGTTTGGGTTTTCCAAAGGTATATTCAGGACAAACCTAAAGGTACAGTGTTCAAACAGTGCTGAGTAGACTCCAGCTGCTGCGTCAGGGAGCAGTGTAGTGATCTACGCACACAAGTGCTGACGCCCTAGCCAAAGACAGAGCACCCTGTGCTCGTGGGTGGGCTCTACCTTTACCAGTCCTGCAGGAAGCTTTAATGGAGAAAGAAATGGACTTTATTTTTAAAAGATGAATGAAGCAGGCATTTATATGAGAATGGTAGTATATTTTGGTTGAACAGTAATGTAATAACTTGGAATTAGGACTCTGCGTGCTTATATATTTCCACTGCCTGTTGTTCTTCAGTAAAGAAAAATGACTAACCGGCTCCTACTATTCCCTCTACAGGTGTACAAATACTATGTCTTGTACATTAACATTTTTAACACACAGGAGAAATTTTATGTAATAAAATTACTGTATCTTTCGAACTTAAATCTGAATTTGTACTTAAACACATATGTGTGATACTAATTTATTTGGGGATCTTGGGTGCATTCCTAATTTGTGTTACTTATTCTTCACTGGGCTTGCAATGAATGGGTGGTGGTCCCAGAAGGCTCACAGGCACCATTTCTGATTGGGCACCTTCCAGGTCTTTCAGAAAGGTGGCTTCCCTGAAGTTGGGTTTTATGATGAGGTCACCAAGCAGCTCTCGGAAATTCCTTTTTTTTTTGTTCATTAGTAGTTTCGATGATTCTCATCTGTGACAGTAAGGGTTAGTTTTATATATTTAAGAGAAGCATAACTGCTAAAATTAAGATGCCTCTATCAAAGAATGCTGTTATAAACTGTTGTAACATTATTTCAGATATTCTTAAATCTCTTTGGTGTAGCAAACTATAAGCCCAGCCACTCGTTTTATATGGTCATGGTTAATTTTTTATTAATAAAAATTATAGAATAAACTTAGTCTTGTCAACTTGATTGTATTTTCCTACTCTCTTATGACCAGGGTTCGTGTTCTGTGCCTTCTCTTAATAATTTGCAAATGTGACAGAAGCCCTCTCATTCTGTCACTCTCCCCTTGATCTTCCCTTCGTGGCTGGGCAGTAAAAATAGTTAATTTATAAATCCATGTCAACATTTACAGAACAATTAGCTTGTTGGTAGTAATCTGTGTCACTCTTAGTCTCTTGGAATTTCAAAAAGTGTTTCCGTGCATTTCCCTGTCACAAGTTCTTTTTGTCTCTAAATCTTAGTATATGAAAAAATTATGGTTAGAGATTCCAAATTTCAAAAAATTTGTATGTGTGTGTGGTTTGTGCGTGTGATGGGGGTGTTTGTACCATGGTGCATATGTAGAGGTCAGAGGGTTGCTTTCGAGATGTCATTCTCCATTCACCGTGGGTTCCAGGAATCAGGAAGTACTTGTAAGCAATTTTACCCCCTGAAGCATCCCACCAGCCTGAGAGATTTAAAAAAAGAAAGAAAGAAAGAAAGAAAAAACAAAAACATGGTTGCATGTAACTTTTATGAGTAATGTGCTTATTTCTGGAAAATTGTACATGAAAGCTAAGCAGTACTGACAGAGCCATTTTTCTGCAACACACATCCAAGTGGAGGCAATAATGTGCACTATCTCCCTAAGGCCCACCAAGAAAATTGAACAACGTGCCCAGCGGGTCATTGGAATAGTTCAGCAAGTAAAAGTGCTTGCTGCCAAACCCGAGTTCAATCCCCAGAACTCACATGGTAGGAGAGAACCAGCTTCCACAAGTTCTCTTCTGAGCTCCACACATGAATGTTAACACAATTTTTTAATATGCTAAGTAATGAAGAATCTTATGCTTCCTTTAATATTTGAGGAATCTTAATGATCTGTCAGAATGGGTAATTTAAGCTGTGTACCTGTGTTTTGACATGGTAACAAGTTTCTTAGAAGTTTCTTGCCCAACTGAATTTTATGAGTGTAGAAGTCAAAACAAATTGTGCCTGGGTTGTTGGTATGAGATGCTTAGTGAGTCTGGAGGTGCTCTCAAATGCTTAAGATACTTTGGTAATTTTTGTTTCAGTATTTTGATGGTGGGAGTAGGCTGTAAGACTTATGCTTCTAAGGTTTGAGTTAAACACCATCTACAGACTGGAAGTTAACATACAAAGTCCCGTCATAAAACCACAAAAACTAAAGAATTTGATAAGTAAGTTAATTAAATTGGTAGAAAGGGGAAAGGTATTGCTTATTTCTTAGAAATCCAACTAGCCACAAGTTATCTGGGGACTTGCCCACTAGAGGGCAGTTGTTTGATTCTGAAAGGCATTTGTTAAGAGCTTTTGGAACTATGACATGAGAGTTCAGTTTGTGTACTGCAAGAGATTCAAAAAGCTCAAGTCAGATCAAAAGAAGGGGATGTCTAAAGTGCATGTAAAGGCCAAGTTGAACCATTGTTCACTGAGACCCTGGAGTAAATGGAAACCAGTGCTGGAGGGGGGACCCCAATCGACATTTGTAATGCACATGCCTGACCGGAAAGATTTCTCTGAGCTGCAATTTAACACTAATGTGCAGCTTAATGTCCTGTTTCTCCACTTAACATCTTGAGAGTTCCATGTCGTGGATTTTATTGTGTGAATGGAGCCTTTTCTCTCCCAGGTGCTGGGATTGCAGGTGTGTTCTACCACACCCAACTTCCAAGAATTTTCTGCAAGCAAAAGTTTCCTGTCTACCTAGCCTCGTGTGTGTGCTCCACAGTCAGTTCCTGTTGTTAACTGATTTTTAATTTTTGCAAGTAGGAATATTAGAATAATTGAACGTTCAGTCTTGATGTAAAAATTATGAGTACACTTTCCTAGAGATGTAATTACTGCCTTACAGAACAGGGACATTTAAGATCTGGGACATATTGGCAAAATTATGGTCCAAAATGCCAAAACCTTGCATCATAATTATATATTACCCATGTTTTCACAGTCATTAACTGCACAAAACCTGTGTTTCACCATCAGTTTGAGGAAGTAAATGGTAACCCAAGCTGGGAGTGGTGCTGTGTACCTGTAACCCTGGCATCTAGGAAGAGGAGGACGATGAGTTCAGAGGGATCCTCAGCTACATAGCAGGTTCCATCCGGGATATCTTGGGCGACATGAAACCAGTGTCTAAAAAAGAAAGTAATCCAACATATTTCTGTGTTCCTAGTATATTCATTTCTATAATCTGATATGACATTTCTCAGATCTGTGCTTCATGAAATTATACTCAGTCTGACTTGTTTCCATTCCCAGTGGGATCTTTGAAAGACTGTGTGTTTTAAATTTCATCCCATTAATTTTGTTTGTGGCGGGATGTGGGTGTGCTTGTGGAGGTCCAAGGACAACCTGTAGGAAGTTCTCTACCGTGAGGTTCTTGAGGCTTGAACTCACGTCATCAGGTTGGCTGGCAAGAACCCACATCATAAACTTTGGGCCATCTCACCTGAGAAGTAGTTCTTAATTCTCAAGGTGTATGAATTACATTTTTGGTGTCAGCTAAATTTTTTGTCTAGGAAGCTGGAGAGAGAGCTCAGCCTTAAGAGCACGTCCAGAGGACCTGGGTTTGAGTCCCAACACCCATACGTCAGCTCACAATCCTCTCTAACTCCAGTTCCAGGGGATCTGACACCCTCTTCTGCACCACGCACACAAATGGAGTACATACAGACAGGCAAAACATTCATACACATGCAGTATTTGAAATTTTGCCTAATTCAAGGTGTCAGACTTTCTGAGTTTTAGTACTTTTTAGGTTTTACATTTAGGTCTGACACACTTGAGATTTTCATGTAAAAGTTTGAGAATTCTGCTGGGTGTAATGCCCATTACATTACCAGGCAGGCGGAACACTCAGTTCAAGGCCTGCCTGGTCTACGTAGCAAGTTTCAGGCCGGCTGGGGCTACAGGGGGACTGTCTCAAAAAGGCCAAAAAAAACAGTTTGAGAATCCAGTCTATATGACACATCAAGTCTCATTTTTCTTAACAAGTTGCTGAAAATCAGTTGACTGTACATTTGTGTCTAGCTCTGCAGTATTTCATTAATACATGTCTGTGTCTTCCCCACACTACATGAATCTAGTTATATGTGAATCTTAAATCTGGTGTGTGAATAATTTTATTTTGTTATATTTCTTTCTTTGCAGATTTGGACTTTATTAAGAGATAGTTAACACAGATTTAAGCACAGGCACTGTGGCAAGAGAGGCACTCAGGAAGGATAGTACACTGACTGGGTGTGGGCTTCTCAGGACAGCCTCTTCTGTGTATACACATTTTTTTATAAAGTTTTATGAGCATCTTCCTTTGAATTCTCCATTCATAGTGCTGAGGATCGAACTCATACCTTTATGTATGCATTTTAGAATTAACTTGTTGGCTTTAAAAAAAACCACACCACTTGCATAGACTTTACTTGTGTTGAATGCATTGACCAACTTAGGGAAAGCAAGCATCTTAATATTTGTTTTCCAGTAACTGAATATAGCATATTGTACTATCTGTTTCAACCCAGCTTCCATTCCCATGGTTTTCAGTTTCTAGCATACATTCTGGAGCTGGAATTAGAGGAAGTTGTAGGTACTGGGAACTGAACTCTGATCTTTTGGAAGAGCACCAAGTGCTCTTAGTAGGTAAATCATCTCTCCAGCCCTAAATTGCATTTTTAAAATGACAATTTCCAATTGTTCATTGGTGATAATACAGAAGTTCAATTCTTGTGTGTGTTTTAGATGTCTTGACACCTTGCCAAATTCACTGACAGGATTTTTGTTGTTTGAGTCTAGGTCTCACTCTAGCCCAGGCAGGGCTCAAAGTTATGATAACTTTCATGCCTCAGCCTTTTAAGTGCTAGGCTTATAGGCATGAGCCACCCTGCCCAGCTCACATACGTTAGGTTTTCGGTTTCTTTTTAGGTTTTGGATAACAACAGGTTTGCAGATGGTTATTTTTCAGTTTTCTGCCATCTTTCCAGTCAGTTTCCAGTGCCTTCATGTCTTTTCCCTCTCATACTCACTGAATAGATCCTCCAGTGTTAGGTCAGAGGAAACGTGATTAATAGGCACAGCATTTCTTGGTCACCAAGATCAGGAGTAACATTCAGTATTCTATGTTAGTTCTAGGATTTCATTACATTTTATTTTAAAATCTTGGGGCTAGAGAGATGGCTCAGTGATTAAGAGCACTGGCTAGTCCTAGAGAGGACCTGGGTTGGGTTTCCCACACCCACATGATGACTACTAACTGTAACTCAAGTTCCAAGTGATCTGTCGCCCTCTTCTGGCCTCTGCAGGCATTGCATGCAAGTTGTGCACTTAAATACATGAAGGCAAAACACTCAAAACATCAAAATAAATTTAAAAATTGTTATTTATGTATGTGTACCACATGCTTGCAGGTGCCTCTGGAGGCCAGAAGGCAATGAATTCCCTGGAGCTGGAGTTACACGCTCTTGTGAGCTGTCATGTGTGTGTTTTAAACCAAGCCAGGTCCTCTGCAAGAGCAGCAAGTGCTCCTAACTGCTGAAGCACCTCTCCAGCCCTAGTTCTAGGATTTTCGTAGATACCACAATAGACTGAGGAACTTCTCCTTTAATCTCAAAAGTATTCTTAGTAATGAATTGATAGGGATTTTGTCAGATGTTTCATCTCTGACAATTGAAATGAGCATATTGGTTTTTATTACGATAATGCTGACATAGTAGATTCCATTGCAATTCAAATGATGAACCAATCTTGCATTCTTTTTTAAAATTTATTTTTATTTTTTGGTCTTTTTGAGACAGGGTCTCCCTGTAGTCCCAGCTGGCCTGGAACTCACTATGTAGACCAGGTAGGCCCTGAACTCAGAGATCTGCCTGCCTCTGCCTCCCAAGTGCTGGGACAACAGGCGTGCACCACCACGCCCAGCAAAATTTATTTTAGTTTTTATTTCATGTGTATGAGTGTATTGCTTGCATGTATGTAAGAGCACCCATGTCATTGCAATGCCTGAGGAGGTCAGAAGAGGGCATCAGATCCCCTGGAACTGGAGTTATGGACAGTTGTTAGTTGTCCTATGGTGCTGGGATTTGAACCTGGGTCCTCTGCAAGAGCAACCAGTGCTCTTAACCACTGAGCCATCTCTCTAGCCTCCAGTCTTGCATTCTTGTGCAGTCGTTGGGTATTATTTTCATGAGTAGTTTTTGTTGAGATGCGTCAGTGTTCATGAGAGACATTTATATGTCTAGTTTTGTCTTACTATCATTGATACATGTAATGTCACCTTTAAAAAGTTGGCTTCTGGGGCTGAGAGATGGCTCAGCAGTTGAGAGCCCTTGCTGTTCTTGAACTCAGATTCAGTTCCCAGCACCCACATTGATAAAATTTCTTCCTTAAATGGTACAACTTACTAGTAACAAATATTAAATACTGTTCTGTCAAGGGAAACAGATAAAAATCACTTCATTAGACCTGGAATAATTCCTCCTTTTAGGAACTGAACTATATTATAGTCTCCCTCCCAAGTACCAAGTACTCCCGGCTCTGCTTTAGCTTCTAAGATGGGATGCACTGGTTAGTCCCTAAATTGATCAGCAGTGTTAAAAAAATGAAGCACCATAATTGGGTTTGCCTGGTGACATTTTGCTTTCTTATGTGTATAAAACTGCTGTCTACTAGTTTACATGGTAATACCTAAAAAGATTCATTGATCAGTTGAACTGATCAGATCATGAGGTTATCTCAAACAGCAAAGAACTAGGTGGTTAAGGTATGTCCAAGTGTCGTAACAGGAACCTTGTGAGTCTCAGAGAATACAAAGTTCTCTCTTACTCTCTTCTGCCCTCAGTCCTTTCACAAAGCAGCAAAACTCACACAGAGAATATTTATGAAAATAATTACATATGGAATCATAAAACAAGCTGCAATAAAATTGGTTCAAGTTTTTCCTAGTTCCTTAGGTCCTCTGATCAAAATATAATTTAAAATTATTTTTAAGAATCTGAAATTTGAGCTGGGCATGGTGGTGCACACCTTTAATCCCAGTACTTGGGAAGCAGAGGCAGGCAGATCTTGGTGAGTTTGAAGCCAAAGTGTTCTACACATTGAGTTCCATGGAGCTGGGGGGTGTAGCTAAAGTTATGTATGAGGGGAATTATGTACATATTCACTAAAGCTATGTATAAGGTTCACCGGCCTACATAGTGAGGTCCAGGCCAGTGAGACCCTATCTGGAAAAGACCAATAAATACATATCCTTTCCATCAGTTGGGTGGAAAACTGGGAAAAATCGAAGGCAAATAATTTACAACATGAACAGTTCATTTCCGGTGAATTAAGAGAGGGTCTAAAATGTAAAATTAAGGTTATGGACTATAGATTCATAATTTGAATATTTTTGTTGTTGTTTTTTGGGTTTTTTTTCTGTCTTTTTGAGGCAGGGTCTCCCTGTAGCCCCAGCTGGCCTGGAGCTCGCTATGTAGACCAGGCTGGCCTTCAACTCATAGAGATCCTCCTGCCTCTGCCTTCCCAGTGCTAATTTTAAATTTTTGATTAGTGTGTATATGATGGGAGGGCATGCCAAGATGCACAGGTGGAGGTCGGAGATCAACTTTGTGCAGTCAGAGCTCTTCGTATACTGGAGTTCCAGGGATCCAATAAGGCAGTTTGTCAGACTTGCTTGGCAAGTGCCTTTACAGGCTGAGCCATCTCACCGGCTCCAGATTCGTTATCTTGATGTAAGGATCTTCCTAAGCCATATAGCGGGGCGTGGTGACACATCCCTTTAATGCCAGCACTTGGGAGGCAGAGGCAGGTGGATCTCTGTGAGTTCAAGGCCAGCCTGGTCTACATAGTTCCAGGACAGCTGGGGCTACAAGGAGACCCTGTCTCAAAAAGACAAAATTTAAGAAAGCCTTCTATGAAAACTTTCAACTTCAAACTGAAACAAAGTTAAAAGGTAACATCAAGAGAAACATTCTGTCCACAACAATCAGGTGAAGGAAACTGGACAAATCGTGATGTAAGAGAATTCAAGAACCTAAAGTAACTCAAGTCTCACCCAGGTACAAGAACCACAGCTTCCCAGGTCATGTCCTAGGAATAGGAAGTGATCGAACTAAGATGTTGTTGATTTTTTTAAACATTTGTCTTTGGCGGGCTGGAGCGATGGCTCGGCGGTTAAGAGCACTGGCTCCTCTTGCAGAGGACCCTGGTTCGATTCCCAGCACCCACATGGTGGCTAACAACCTTCTGTATTCCAGGGGAATCCGACGCCCTCCTCTTCTGACTGCGGGCACTGCAAGACAAGGGTGCACTTACACACATGCAGGCAATACACTCACACATTAAAAAATTAGTAAAGATAGTTTTAAAAATTTGTCTTTGGCGGCCAAGTTTCGCTATGCAGCCCAAACTGGCGGGGCCTTCGCGATCTTCCTGCCTTAGCCTCCCGAAGGCTGGGGTGACAGGTGTGCACCACGCCCAGCTTTTATTTTTCTTCTCCAGGATAGCGTGTCAGGTTTGCAATTAAAATTTTTAAAATTCCGAAACAATGATGCGGTCGGAGCTACCTTACGTGGTGTGCTGTCGAAATCAAGGATGGGTTTCCCACCAGGTTGATTTTAGGTCTAGGCTGGGGAGAAACCGGGGTTTTCTGCTTCCTTTCAGCTACCGGGACGGTAGTCACAGGGGTGTCCCATTAAATAAGGACGTGGGTGCTGCAGGCGTGGGAAAGGCCGTCCGCACCCCGCGCTTCCGGACTGCACACTTCCCTATCCTCACCCCGCGCCATCTGCATAGCTCAGTCCTTCCGGTCGGTCAGTATGACTCGCAGGAATTCATTCCAGGAGCCGGCGTCAGCGCGTCTCCCGCGTCTGCACTTCATGAAGAGTTTGGGAACGCCCCGCCCCTCCCAAGCCCCGCCCCCCGCGGCCTCTGTTGTCATCACGTGGCCCAGGCGGGCCTGGGCGTCACGCGGGGGAGGGACTGCGCAGGCGCAGAAAAGGGGGCGGGGGACTCGGCTTGTGTGTTGCCGCCGGAGAGCCGGAGTCGGTTGTGCTGCGGCCGCCGCGCTCCCAGCCTCCCGATCATGTCGTCCCACCTAGTCGAGCCACCACCGCCCGTGCACAACAACAACAACAACTGCGAGGACGCGGAGCAGCCGCCGCCGGCAGGCCTCAACAGTGAGCGCGGGGCCCCGGGGTTCAGCTGAGGGATGGGGGAGGAGGAGCCCCGCGACCGCCGCCGCGCGGGGG